CTGGCCCCTTTGGCCAGCCCGTGACTCATGTAACTTTTTTTTTCTTCATGTAACACCTGGTCAAAAGTTTCTCACCTTAGGACCAGCCTGTGGCTCACTCGGCAGAGTGCAGTGCTGATAACACCAAGGCCATGGGTTCGGATTCTATATAGGGATAGCTGGTTTGCTCACTGGCTGAGCGTGGTGCTGACAACACCGAGCCATGGGTTAAGATCCCCCTACTGGTCATCTTTTTAAACAAAACAAAACAAAACAAAAGTTTCTCAGCTCTATAAGTCTGGATCATCTTCCTATTTAGGGGACAATAATGAGAACTGGCATTCATTGATTGCTTACCACAACCAGGAACTGTGCTAAGTGCCAGACTGTATGATCTTCTGGCTTCTGTGTAGGGTGTTGTCCACACTGGGAACCCTCAGTGACCCACTCTACCTTGTCCTCCCTGCCTAATTCTTATTTAGCCATCAGGCTTTACCTTAGAGGATACTTTCTCCAGGAAGCTTCCTTGGCTGTGTACAAGAAAAAACAAGTTTCCTATGTGTTCTAATGGTATCCCAGAATTCATTTATACAGCATGGTTCACACAGTACTTTAATTCTTTCACTAGACTGTAGTTAGTGACAGCAGGTTCATGAAGGTGCTCATTAACAATGCCTGGCGCAAAAAAGACACTCAAATATTTGTTTGATAAACAATTTTAAACAAATAGTTCAGTCCCCACTGAAATGTTGACATCAAACGCGTGTACTGGGGGCCGGCCCGGTGGCACACTCGGTAGAGTGCGGCGCTTGGGAGTGTGGCAGCACTCCCGCCGAGGGTTCGGATCCCATATAGAGACCAGTCTGCTCACTGGTTGAGCGCGGTGCGGGCGCGACACCGAGGGTTGCGATCCCGTTGCCGGTCAGGAAAAAAAAAGACAAAAAGGAAAACAAAAAACAAAAAACCCCCGCATGTACTGTAGTAACTTACCGTTTGTCTGAACCCATTGTTCCAGTGAAGATCTAG